TTTTAAGGAGTGAATACAAGAGCAGGAAGTGGAGTCTACCAATATGGTTGTGTCTTGAAGATCTGAGATTTAAGGTATTGACTAGAGGGAACAGAATCCCTCTAGTTTGTTTCTACTAATAGTTTAGTAGATAAATATTTTTGCATGGTCAGGATTAGATGAGACAAGAGAGGCATTTGCATAATCCTGAGGGTGAGAGCTTTCTTATATTTTGCACCTGAGGTCCTCCCTTGTCTCAAGCTAGATTTGGGTCCTGGGTTTTCTCTTTCTCTTTTTCTCTTTTTCCTTCCTTTCTTCCTTCCTTCCTTCCTTTCTTTCTTCCTTTCTTTCTTTCTGTCTTTCTTTCTTTTTCTTTCTCTCTCTGTTTCTTTCTCTTCCTTCCTTCCTTCCTTCCTTCCTTCTTTCCTTCTTTGATGGGAAAGAACTGAGCATGTTTATATGCAGAAAAGAAAGAGCTTTTAAAGGGAAAAGTTTAAAGATACGGAGAGAGGCAGAGTAATTGATGAAGTGAACTCACAAAAGAGCCAGGAGGGGATAGAGTCCAAGTACAGAAAGCTTAGTTTTGGAAGGGAGGGTACCTTGTCTGAGAGCCCATTGGTGAGATGAAGATGAAGTAGGTTCATTTGCAAGAACTTTGTAGATGATACAAAGAAAGATATTTAAGAAGAAAATTAATATGGTATTAAAAAATCTTTGATCATAAGAAATTCTAGATGGAATGCCAGATATTTTGAACAATAAAAACAGTGTTTCTATAAGATAGCACCAAGCTTTCTGTGTCCATTTAAAAAATACTTGAAATGTATTTATTTGTTTTATTGATATTGTACAGTTTTAAAATTATTTGAAACATACATTTTATTCAGTGCTCTGCCTGCTTACTGCTAGGCATACAGGAGGTGTTTGGTAATTGTTAAAGGAAGAAACTTAAGTGGTTTATTTAGTTGTCACCTAGTATAGTGTTGAATCTGTCAAAATATATTTTATGGAAATAAAACAAATTTTTAAAAATTACATTTTCCTTTTTCCTTTTTTAAATAGATAAATCCAGGACAGATCTGGAGCAAGTACCTAAGGTAACAAAGCCTAAAAAATGAGAATACTGCTTTTTAACATTTGATTTTTAATTTTCCCTTGTAAGAAGCTTTCATTTGTCTGTTTCCTGGCACTTTGACCACTTTGTCTCTTCATTTTTCTTCTCTCTCTGTTGCATCATCAATCTCTTTTTTATCACCAAAATTTACAAATAGGTTTACATCTCTTCATTTTAAAAAAGAATTTTGTTGATCTTATTACCCCTCCAAATTATTAGAGATATTTTCTTTGTATGAAAAATGTTGTAGAGATATGTAATGGATGAGATAAATAAAACTCTAAATGCCATTGTAGAGGGTTTGGTCTGTCGGTCATGGGAATCCATTGAGAGATTTAAACAGATATTAATTCAGTTATACTTGCATTTTAAAGATATATCTCATAGCACTATAGAGGATAGATTGAGAAAGGGCATCAGTAAGAATCCATTTACTATAATCCAGAGATAATGAAGAGCTGCAGAAATGCTGTAGAGATAGAGAGGAGATTCAAGCAATATTGAGGAAATATTAAGGGTAGGGTTTAGTGCCCAGTTGGATGTGGTATATAAGGGAAAGGAAGGAATTCGGTTTTATAAAATTGAATTTGTTTTGATTTTAAAATTTAGTATATATCTAATCTAAAAGAATTTTGAAAGAATTTTGAGCAGGAGAAAACAGAAATATAAATACAGAGATACTGATATTTGGCCTTTTTGGAAAACCACTATCAGTGGAAAATAATATGGAAATTTTATGTATGATAATATCCCTTTGGCATGTGCTTAGTCGGACTGCACCAGTGAGTTTGACCAAGTAGTAAATGGAATGATCATCTCCTTTGGTAAAGACAAAAAAAAACAAACATTTTTCTATCTTTCATGGTCATTTTTAACTTGATGAAACATTATTTATACAGTTTTTCTTATACAGATTTTTGTATAAGTAACTCAACCTGTTATCACTTGTTTTTTCTGTGTATGCTTGAGATCCAAGTTAATTATTATTTAATGGTCTTTATGATGTTAGAAGGGTTAATGAGTGTAGAGAAAATGTTTATCTAATTGAGGGAAATGCATTTTTTTAATAGATTTTTATGAAACCAGATTTTGCCTTGGACGATTCCTTAACTTTTAATTCAGTTTTACCATGGTCTCATTTTAATACTGCTGGTGGAAAAGGAAATCGTGATGCAGCTTCTTCAAAGTTGCTACAAGAAAAGGTAATTCCTTTTTTACTTTTTCATTTAGAAAAGTATTTTACTTAAGTAGTACTATTTGTGTAGGTTCAGATTTAGTTATTTAGTAGGTGCTACTTCTTTTAATTTCATCTTTATTGTTGTTGATAATTATAAGCCTTCAGATCTTAACTGTTAAAATAATAGCATTTTTATTCAGTGCAGTACAAATGTGCTACTAAGAAAGGAAAAGCTTATTGTTTGAGTGCTTGTTATCTGAAACAGCAGTTGATGGAATTTCAATTGAAAGGATATATTAGATAACACAGTTAATTGTTTTTATTCCAAACAATATATTGGCTAATTTTATATTCTTTATGATTTAAAGCACAGAAAATCACTTTTCCTGAGGTACTCTTTTTCCTCATTTACACATAGTAATGATGATTATTTTTAAGCAAAAATATTATAATTAAAAAACACAGTATTCCTTTAGCTTTACAAAACTTTGCAAAGTCTAGTCTTTTGCATGTTACTAGTCAGCAGTTTTTCAGAATTTTACAATGTTCCATATTTTAGAAGTCAACATCTTGGAAATCATTTAAAATGTATAACTTTAAACATATCGTAACTCATATCAAGACTCTTTTAAAATTTGAATAGGAAGTAAAAACCTTTGATCTCTGTTTTTTCTCAGCACTCAGTTTAGAGCTTTTCTAAAACTGTGGTTCTTAAGCTGAGATGAAAGCATTTTGTTTCAGTCTAGTGATAACTCTTGGCAGTCTGAAAGCTTGTTTCGGGTATTCAGTAAGTTGGATCTAGTCCACCTCAGCAACTAAGAAAGGACAGGCTTAAGGAGGAGAGGAGAAGAAATGTAGGTAAAGAATCATGAGTATTCCTTTCCTTACAGTTGAAAAAGAAAATGAACTCACTTTTTCTTTTGGCAGTATTTTTACCTATAAATGTTTTCCTTGAGTAAGAATAAGTTCATAAATCTTGTGAAAAGGATGGATTTATGGACACAGGCTCATGCCCAGACTGCTTTTTTGCATTCCAGGTATATCCCCTGGTAGAATGACACCTTAAAAGAGAAAACAACAAAAGCCAATAAAAATCTCATCAATCTATATAGATACCTTTAGGAATACTTTAAAAATTGTTCCCTTTTATAGAATTTTAATAGGAAATGAATTATGAAAATCTTGAAAAGAACAGATCTGTGGAATATTGATGAATTACATAAATCTTTGAGATTCAAATGAAAGAATGTTCTCATACTAAATGTTTCAAGTGACTAAAGTAATAGAATTTTTTTGTAAGTTGCAGAATCAGCTTTGTTACATTTAGATTCTGTCTCCTCATTCTGCTGTGTTCTTAGAAATGGAATGGAAGACAGGATTCCAAGAGAGCACTTTCAAACTCCCTGTATGATTGACAACAGCTGTTTTATTTTGCTAGCTTTAAAGAGGGGATGCTACAACAAGGATTAGAGAAATTTATATCTTACTGTAGTGCTGCTACCCAAAGTGCTGGTCTTTGATGAGATAATGAGTTTGCTCTAGAGTGTAAATCATGGCACTGCTTTCCTTCAGTAAGAAAATCTTTCTATGAAAAAGCAATACGATGAACTTAGTGATAGTGATGTAGTTGCTTTACTTTCCAGCAAAGTTCCTCATTTTATCACAGATGTATTAAACTGTTCACACACTGGCAGCAGCATATAAACTGCATTCTGAGTAGGGCTGTCCTAAAGGGGTTACCCATTCTCTATTTTCTGAAAATTGAGTTCACTTCAGCTTGTAATGTACCCAGGTACCTTCGTCCTCATGTTGCTTTTTAGGTAAATTAATGAACAGCCTTTGAAAATAAAAAGAACAACAAAAGTGTATAAATGCAAGAGATTTAAACTATAGAAGAATATCTTGTTTATAACCAGTTATGTATTATAATAGATTACTGAAGGAACCTTATTGAAGATACGCATGATCCTGCATCGTTTTAAGAAACAGGCTTGGTGATCAAATAATCTTCTAATCTTATGAGTCCTAAATGTTGAAAGTCCATTAAACCTTTAATACTGCAAATTCTCCTGAGATGTTCAGAGATAATGCTTAAAATTTGAGCTATAGTTTGAAGAATCTAAAAGTACAAGTGTGGGAGAGAAATGGAAAGATAATGTAGCCAAAAAAGGCACATGCAGTTAGGAAGGAAGAAAAGGCATGTCAAGTTTTAGAAGTCTATATTTGAAATTAGAAAGCATTTTTAGTATATGTTGCTCTAGGAATTAATTTTGGTAGTGTTACAAATAAAATATATGTGAACTAATTGTTTCAGGCATTTGTCAACTTTTTAAGGAGAAAACACACTGGAAATAAACTGAGTTTTACAAATTGATAAATGTAAAATTAGCAGCCTTAAAAAAAAGATAAAAATAAACTCTAATACTTTCTATAATTTGTGGCTGGATCACCAGTCTGTCTTTCATTAATTCTTTTGTATTTTGAAACAGCATGGTGCAGTAGAAAGAATTTCAGTTTTTGAGTTAGATGGACCTGGGTTCAAATTTTAGTTTTGCCGCTTACTAACCATATGACTTTATTCGAGTTATTTAATGTTTCTGAGCCTCTGTTACCTCATCTGTAAAATGAAAATAATAATAATTCCTATATCCTAAGATTGTTAAAATTAGAAAATTATATATATATAATTTATATTATATATATTATATATATATAATATATATAAAATACCAGTGCCTGGTACACAGAAAGAGGAAGTCAATAAATGGTAACTATAATTATCTTTTAGTCAGATAAGTGATACGTGAAGGTGGTGATGGCAATGAAGTATAGGGGTTGAAATGATCATTCTCTCTCAGATCTTGGAAGTTCTAAAACTAGATTGTAATCTCAGATGACTGTGGGTTAGTCTTACTTTCTACAATATAGTTGGTGTTTGGAGGGCAGTAATGGCAGAAGCAGAGGAAGAAGGTAAATCACCTTCTGTGCTTTTGTCTTACATTTATTAATCTTTGGATTCTACCTTTCATCTTCCCATTTTGTATGTGCATCACATAATCAGTTTACACAATGGGATTTAAAATACATGTCAAAATACTGTATCATTTCAGAAAGTATTTGGATAGTTAAGGTATACTTATAATACTTCATTAAATTTTTTTCCTTCCCTCTTAAGCTGAGCCATTATCTGGATATTGTGGAAGTCAACATTGCTCACCAGATCTCTCTACGTTCAGAAGCATTTTTTCATGCAATGACCTCTCAACATGAATTGCAGGACTACCTCAAGAAAACTTCCCAGGCTGTAAAAATGCTTCGTGATAAAATTGCACAAATTGATAAAGTAATGTGTGAAGGGTCACTACACGTTTTAAGACTGGCACTTACCAGAAATAATTGTGTTAAAGTATATAATAAACTGAAATTAATGGCCACTGTACACCAGACTCAGCCTACAGTCCAGGTGTTGTTATCCACTTCTGAATTTGTTGGAGCATTGGACTTAATAGCAACAACGCAAGAGGTTCTGCAGCAGGAACTTCAGGGCATTCACAGCTTCCGGTATGTCCATAAGTAAGCCATTAAAAATAAGGTTAGAACTTTTTAAAGGATAAATTTTAGGGTGTAATGTTAGCTGAAGAAATATGAATGTATTTAGAGTTACATGGTTACTTTTTCTTCCAGACTGATCAGTTTAATAATACTATCATTCTGATATTTTACTGTTACTAAAACAAAAACTGTAAGGACCAATATTTACAGAGACATTTGGATGCAGAAGCAAAAAAATTTTTCTGGGAGATGAAATCAGTGAAAGACAGTCACAACTTTGACAATGATAACGTTTTGAAAATGTTTGAAATAGTTTTATGTCAACATAGTAGATTGGGATGGAGAAAGGAATAACAGTATATCTAAAATTAAGTTCACTTTAAAAGCCCTTGAATAGCCTTTAAATTAAATAATTATTAAAATTCATTTCTGATTTGCAGCCTTTTATCACATTGCAAAAAATTCCACTTGGGGATGTAAAAGATCCGATTTCTTCTACGTTTTCATTTTGAAAATACCATTAGGATTAGGGTTTTAGTTATTTTATGGGAAATCATGTCAAATGTTTAATTAACAGATTAGACCAATTGCAATACATCAAAATTTCATTCAGTTAAGCAGACTTGCAGTGTCCTTGTGGAAGTTCCTATCTGCAGGGAAACCCAGTCAAACCTTACACTACTGAGTGACTACAAATAAGTTTTATGGAAGGTAACTTAATAGTTACTTAATATATTCTGGAAAGATTATCTTCAATATAAGTTTATTTTAATTGAATGATAAATTCTTATTGACTAAGGGTATGTAATTGGAATATTTATTCAGAAAGCATTTTTTAAAGTTGGCCCAAATTTAATTATGCAAATGAATGATTCATTTGTTCAAGAAATGGTTATTGATCACCTGTTACATGAGACACCAGGCAGAATACTGGGAATATAGCCATAAACAAAGCAGAGATGCTTTCTGCTCTGACTGTTCCTACAATTGATTTGGCAAGAGGGAGACAGGTTCCTGGGTAGCTGTGATACAGTGCAGTGCAGTGCAGTATGATGATGAATGTATAGAGTGCTGTGGGGCCTAACTTTAGGGGAGGAACCTAATCCAGACTTGGATGTTTACAGAAAAAGTTTGAATCACAGATCTTTTTGAGAATCTTTTAAAAGCTATGGTTGGACCTTCTTCCCATAAAAATATACGTGTATATAAAATTCTGTGAACAATTTTGGGTAGTTCGTAGTCCTTTGAAGCCTACTTTGGATTTCCCAAGGTGAAACCCAGGGTGACTAAATGACATTGAGTTTCCCTTTTACCTCTGAAATTTTAAATATTTCTCTTTTTTGAATGTGTGTATGGAATATATTTTTTAAATAAGTAATAATTTTGTCATTTTCGCAGAATGGCCTTCTGTGATGACAGAAGCTGTGTTTTTCCCTTGTCACTACTATATAATGGGAATGTTGAAATATTGGGAGCTGATTCTACGCAGCAGAGTACTTGATCCTCTAAATAGAGAAACACAAACAGATGAAATGCTTGTCTGCTTAACACAAATTCTAAAACTGTTTAAACATTTACCTCAGAGGTCATGCAGCTTATTTGATTTCATTTTCCTGATTCATAAGTTTATACTGAATAATATTGATGAAAAGAATAGTTTTCCAAAGCTATGTGGAAAATACTTAAGAATAGGGTTGAATATTTATTCTCAGTAGATTGTGATTTATTGGGAGATAGAATGAAAATTTTATAATCTTATAATTATCTTGAGCTCAAGGAAAAGTTTACCTCTCTTTTCAGTTTTACTTTTTTTTGTGTGCCTTAACTCAAAGGACAAAATATTCCTTAAAAAAAGCATATATGGTTTTTAAAAAGACTTTTCAAACATTTGGATTGTCTACAGTTTGCTCAAATGTATTCTTACTGTAATTTTAGAACCTGTACATTTGTAAAGAGTGTTTCTTATTCATATGAAATATGAATATATTTGAATCTTGATATCTTGCAGTTTTAATATAGAAAGGATTGTTACCTTGAAATTCACAGATGTAGTGTTATTTGCTCTTTCTTATTGTAAAGGTTTATGTAGAAACTCTTTAGTTTTCACCATTTTTTTTCCTACTAACTACCACCGTTACTCTACCACCACCCCCACTATAAAAGCTAAGAACATATTTTGAATACTTTAGTATTCTGTACCAGGTACTGTGCAAAGAATGTTGCATGTATTATTTGATCCCCCTACCCCCTCCAAAAATAAACCCTCTATGAGATAGATAATCTTATGCCCATTTTAATAGATAGATAGATGCCAACTGCATCCCCATGTTTAGCATGTTTTTCTTTTGCCTGTATTTTCTATAAACTAGGAGTTAGATTTAAAGGCTTGATCAGATTTAAGTTTTAATTTTTGGCAAATCACCTAATAAGTAGTGGTATATATTTCAGTCAAGAGACATGTATTTGATTGTCTCTCTTTTTACATTAGCAGACATTTGATGATCATTGCCCAGATTTGTCATCTCATTGTTCCTTGTAAATCATGATGCTCTAATTCTATGCTTCCTTATTCTTTTATTAACTTGAATATTTCTATAAAGTGGTATTTCCCCTGTAATAATTATTTGGTAACTCTGAAGAACAATTTTTATAGGGATAGGCAGGATAAATTCTAGATTCTTTCCCTTTATTTAGCAGTTTTTGAAATACTGAATTGCAAATCTAGTATCTTCCAAATGTTTTATAAGCACACAGATTTATATATATTTGAAGTATTAAGTTTTTGCCATTTTATTTTTATTGATGTTTATATTATCCTATGTTTTGTAGAAACCTCAAGTCCTTTTGATATAATTCTGTGAGTAGTCATTGATAGTTTTCTTACTTTGTGTTAGGACAGGATATTCATTTTATACATTTTCTGCCCCAGATTTGTAAACTGCTGTTTCTCGAAGGAGCCCTAGTTTCTTTTAGTAGGAAATGGTATTAGAAATTACAGTCTGGGTACCAGAGGTATTCCTTGCTACTGGATTGGTCATTATCTCTAGTCCTTTATAATGGTCAGAGTTAGAAAATGCTTTTCCCTTTTTAAAGAAAAAACATGAGTTTGTATTGGTAGTTCCAATTTAAATTCAGGACTATAGAGTTTTTACTTCTTCAGTTTATTTTATATATATATGCATCTCCTTTCAAACAGACTGAAAACTGTGGTTCCTAATGACACCAACAAAATCACTCATTTGTTTTATCAGAACTAACAATATTGTTACTACAAACACCTAGGATTTCTTTTCTTTTTCTTAAGGTATATCCCTTGTGGGATGAAAGAATAAATTACAATGTCTTAAAAGTCACTGGAAATAATTCCTCTTTGTGGAATTAGATCTGCCACTAATTTGATACATAGTTAAATTCATTTGTTTCATTTGCTTTTGATTATTAAGGATTGAATTTTTTTTAAAGTAATGTTATTTTACAACTATGTTAAATAGTTACATGATTCTAAAGTCAAATATATGAAAGCAAAAGATATTCAGAGAAATTTAACTCCTGTCTTAATTCCGATCCTCTCTACCTACACCTATAAGTCACCATTTTAAAAAGTTTTATTTATATTTATTATTCATCTCTCTGTTATTCATTTTAAATAAGCATTAGCATACTGTATATACTTTTCTCCACCTTGCTGTTTTTATGTTACAGTATATCCTGTAGGTCACACTATAATATGCATTCTGAATTGGGGATATCACCCCAAAGGGGAAATAGTTGGGAAGGGTTGAAAAAAATCTTGAATTTTACAGTGGTTTGTGGCCCTCCAAAGAGCCATGGTACATAAATAGGTGTATAGTGTATCCGTGATATTAAAACTTCATGGGAAGGTGATTAGGAACAAATATGTCTAAAAAGACTTTTAGGGGGGCAGTAATGAAAAACAGGTTGAGAAACTGCTCTGTAGCAGTCTTGGTATTCCTCAATTCTTTGAAAAGTGTATAGGGTCTATTATGATATATTTAACTGGCCTTCTATTGATCAGCATTGGGTTGTTTCCCATTTCTTTGCAGTTACCAACAGTGCTGCAATGAATGTACGTTATTTTGTATTTTTACCAGAGTATCTTTGAGACAGATTCTGACAAGTGAGATTCCTAGGTCAAATACTAATTGCCTATGTCATTTTGCTAGACACTGCCAAATTCCCCTTAAGGCAGTGTTTTAGTTTGTAACAGTGGATATGTTCTGAATTAGTTTATTATGAGATGTTGATGCCATTTATGAGATCCTTATTATGTCTTCTAATTAGCTTTAAGAAATATAATTTTCATATTATAAAATGCAAATTTATATACTATTTCACTTATGAGATTTTTTTCAAAATTATCGCTACACTACTTGCCATATGTTGTTTATAAAAGAACAATGGATCTGTCTAAAAAGTCACATGGTTTAAATTACTTTTTTTTTAATGTACTATATTTAGTCTTAGTAAAGACAGTCGCTGACATTAAGGATTTGTTTTTCAAGTAAATGAAGTATGAATTTTTAAGTGTTTTTTTGTTTAATTATAAATGTTTTAAGTTTAGTAAAATATAAATATAAGTATTAAAATATAAATGTCTTTATGTTGCCCCCAAAGATAGAGCTTTAAAACTTTTTTTATACTGAGGTATAGATAAACGTATTTCCCATTGGTCTATTTCACTTAACTTTTGAGCCAACTAGATTACCCAGGTTTTTTCAACCCATTGGTTTTATGAAGCTATTAGATTGTGTGGCAAAAATCCCTTTGTATATGAAGGTATTCATCCATAGTGCCCATCAGAGCAAGGACTATCTATGTGTGGCCATTCTTGTCATTTGGACAGTAGATGCTTTTTCTAGGGAAAAGGTTCCAAATCCCTTTAGTAGTAATACTTGCCTTTGCCATCCCCACAACTCTTCCCAAATTAGAGTCCTTCTCACTTTAACTTCTAAGACCTGCAAATATTAAAGAGGTAGATTAAAAAGGAACATTATATTTTATGAGAAAAAAGTTTCCATGGATAGATTGTAGCTCAGTATTTTTATATTTTTGGTCTTGTGTTCTAATGGCTTTCAGTTTAATGACCTGAGGGCTATTGCACACTAACTCAAACTCATGACGGAGATTCAATTGATTCATCAGTCTCTTCCAGTAGTCCTTCAGATGGTTTTATGTACCCAGAACAGATACAAATAGTAAGTGTTTATATTTATGAATAAATGAATGGCTAGGGAGCTACTGGCATTTATATTAAGAAAATGGTTAATGAGGAAAGAACTTACAGTATCTGAATATTTTTTTCTGTGAAAAGCAGACTGAAAAACAGTCATGAAATTTCTAGAACCAGATTTTCTACAGCACATTTAACTGTTTATTTTATACATAGTGTGTATCTGTTAATCCTATTCTCCTCATTTATTCCCCTCCTCTTTCCCCTTTAGTAACCATAGGTTTGTTTTCCATGTCTATGAGTCTGTTTCTGTTTTGTAAATGAGTCCATTTGTATTCTTTTTCAGACTCCACATACAATTGATATATAATGTTTGTCTTTCTCTGACTTCACTTAGAATGATAATCTATAAATCCATTCATGTTACTGCACATTTCACTCTTTTTATGGCTGAGTAATATTCCGTCAGGTGTGTGTGTGTGTGTGTGTGTGTGTGTGTGTTACCACATCTTCTTTATCCATTCATCTGTTGATGAACATTTAGGCTGCTTTCATGTCTTAGCTGTTATAATAGTGCTGCTGTGAACATTGGGGTGCATGTATATTTTCAAATAAGAGTTTTTGTTTTTTCCAGATACATGCTCAGGAGTGGGATTGCTAGGTCATATGGTAATTCTATTTTTAGTTTTTTAAGGGACTTCCATACTGTTTTTCATAGTGTCTGCACCAATTTACATTCCCACCAGTAGTGTAGGAGGGTTCCCTTTTCTCTACCCCCTATCCAGCATTTATTATTTGTAGACTATTTGATGATAGCCATTCTGACCAGTGTGAGGTGATACCTCATTATAGTTTTGATTTGCATTTCTCTAATATAAATTTGGGTTTTTAATAAATATGGGTAATATTTTTCTCTTTCTTTGTAGGCATTTGGGATCACAGCTTTGTGAGTTAGAAAAATTGATAGATAAAATGATGATTGCAGAGTTTTCTACTTATTCTCACAGTGACTTAAATAGACCATTGGAAGATGACTGTCAAATTTTAGAAGAGGTATGTCTTTTGAACTATGGGATGAAATTGATGTCATTGCTTAATGTTAATTCCTTATAGTCTTAGTTTAGAACACATCCTTCTCAGGTTAGAGTGAGCAA